AATATTCGAGTAGAGCATCTAAGAAATGTTTTATATCTTTTCTTATACATATATATGTATATCTACAAATTTAAGTAAAATAACAAATACAACGTGTCTACAATTAATGTCTTCGACCCATTGTGTTTAATCTTATTATCAATGCTATTTGTTACACATATAATTCCCATATCAAAAACATGATAAAAATAATGAATTTTACATTCATGGCGTTATTCAAATGTACGTGAAAATATACTAGTTCTCTCATTAATTATTTAAACAATAATTACTGTCGTCGAATTTTTGAATTTATTTTACGAAACAAGCATTAGTACCTCAGTATAGCACAAAATATTTGAAGATGATTATATTATAACCAAGAGAAAATATGCATTCCGGTGGCAAGTTAAGCTGACAATCTTAAAAAAAAAAAAAAAATTTACCCAGGGCCGGATTTAGACCCTCAGAGGTCCATTGAAAAACTGCGATGCTGGCGGCCCCTTTCCCAGATTATTCAAAATTGAGGCCTCCTTTTGGGGGGTGGGGGGATCGAAGCTCCATGGAATTACTTTGGTTGCACCCTCTAAATCCGGCACTGCTTTTACCATACTTCACTTTTCCGTCGTTAAATGTGATTAGGTGCCTGTACAGCTTAAGCATAATGGTGTTATATAACATAGAATGTTTTATGCAGTTCGAGAAAGTTGGATGTAATATTTTCACTGAAAAAAATTTTTTCTTCTAGATTTATTATTATTTTTGAATACTATGTACTGTTGTTAGACTTTTGCATCACGTATTTGTTTTTATGAAACTTCTTCTGTGGGCCTTTTTTCACGTTTGTAACCACTGCGAATCTCATCTAGAACAATTTTCGTAAGCCTTTAAGTTAAAACTGAGTATTCATAAAGCACATGTGGTGAACATGCAAATAGTGAACTAGCACGATAGATATTAGATACTTATCAAGCAATTTTATTTTAGTCACACAAGATCTCTGAATGTTAATCGTAATGCATTCTCGTTGGTTTTACGCGTCTATGAATATATGATTGCATGACGTTGCTATGTATCAGTAGAGTACAAGTGGTTTGAGAAGGTTTCCATAATCAATGTAAACACTGTCGCATAACTCTTTGCTTATGTTCACTTTGACAATGTGGTATATAAGCATACTATATGTTTCTACCTCGTTGTATTAATATAGGAATTTTCATTTTTTTATTTATGCAGGTATGTACGATTTCCACATAACACATTAATCAAGACGGTCGTTAAGTTCCTTTTGCTCTAACTACCTATTGTTCTTTGTCGTTCACCTAGAGTATCACCTTTTGTCTCCCCGTGGCAAACTCAACTGTAGTGTGTGAAGTTAGACAGGTATCTTTTCTATTGGTAGTCTGGTATTCTTATGTTTCACTGGGGATGACCAGCCACGAGGCTAGTGTTAGTTCATCTGGATAAGCCTGACGTTAACGAGTTAACTGAGTAACGTGATATTTATTCGATCTGACCAGAGTTAGCCTTGCTTACCTTATCAGAATAAGTTAGAACTTCAAACCAAATTCTCGAAGGTGACTGCGCGTTGTGTTTGTTTGAATAACAATTCTTTATTGTAATTGTACATCTGTGTTCAGCCTCTCTATATATCTCGCGAACACAGTTATTCAGAAAAATAATTCGCAGGAAATACTTTGACGAAACTCCCGGTATTCAACGGACGTATACTGCCATTCTTAGGGGAAATTTGTGCTATCTAAAAGTACTACGTTATACTCAAACGGCTCTAAATGTTTCATTGTTGTGTGAGGGATATTTTCTGTTCCTTGTTTATCAATAACGGGGATGAATAAACTGTTGCTCGAGGAGCAGGTTAAGAGTTAATAAGGACAAATACACTGATTTAAAAGTGAAGTGTGTATATATATATATATATTACTTACACACTTTCAGACAAACATAAAAACAAATTAACAACAAAAGGACAACTAACATGGACACAGTATAGCTGTAGTCTACCGTTGGATCAGCGGTAAGTTTACGGACTCACTACGCAAAAATTCGGGGTTCAATTCTCGCGGTGGATATCACAGATAGCTAAAAGTGGCTTTGTTTTAAAAATAAACAAAGTATAGCTGTATGAACGTGAAATATATTAGGTTTATCTCGAAGTTGTAACGCTAAGGTGGAGTTTTTAAAATACATTTATTTAGTTGCAGAATTAATTCAAATTTAGGGATGCCTAATGCGATAGCCCTTGAATATATTTGCGCGAACATCCGGAAAAAACAAACTCTAAACGAGATGTATCCAGACCTTAAAAAAATTAATTCGCAAAGGAAAAACTTTAAAATCCAAAAAACGTTAAAATAGATGTCACATCTTGTTTTTACATTAAAATATTTTTGTTTTCTTCTAGTCTATTACTTGCTTTGCTTGTTGTATTGTAAGCACAAAGCTACACAATGGGCTATATGTGCTCTGCCCACCGCGGGTACTGAAAGCCGATGTTTAGCGTTACAAGCCTTCGGAGAGGGACGGCTTTACGTAAAATAGCTTTTGTGTAACCTTGCGCAAAAATTCTAAAACAGAAAGGTCTATACATTTTTTCAAAGCAAGTTCGTACATATATATATATATATATTAAACAACTCGTATATTAAACAATTCTAAAAACAATGTGACAACGGCTGCATAGTCAAATCGGATTGCAAAGGTTTCAAGATTTGTTTACGCTTCAATATTAAACCCTGCCATGCTCATTGTTCATCAGAATTCAAGGTGAAAAATCTGTCTCATTGTAGCCAGTTGTTCTGTCATAATAATCGATAATGCGTTTCGATAATGGATGCAGAATGCATTCGAAACGCGTCGGCCAACTCATCA